TGAGCAAGTCAGAAAAAGAACCCACATCTCCTGGTGCTCAATGCCATTTCTTCTGCACAGAAAGGCACTGCCAGAGGAGCATGGGGCTCTGCCACATGTCACCTGTCCCAAGAACTCTGTTCAGTTCAACAGGATGCTTAACAAAAAACTAAGAAAACTCTTACCGTCTACTAAATTCTATAGGGTTTTGCCTAAGGAAAATTAAAAGCATCTTTTTCCCAAGCTGTCTCATATACACATACAACTATAAACAAGCAATGCAAGCTTGCTTGCTCTTTGAAAGGCAGCAGCTGTGTTGTTCCAAAAATCCCTCCTGAATGTAAACATATTAGCACTGTATAAACAGCTTGATTTAATAAGAAATGCAATACAATATTCCTGCTTTGTCTTTGGGATCACAATGTTGATGTCGGCAATAATTCAGAGGTGAATTATGGTATCTGCTGAAAAGAAAGAAAAAGAAAACTCTCCAGCTATAGTTGTGAATTAATTCCTTCCTCTTAGCTGAAAATGAGAAATGGCTATAATTTAGTTCCCATTTAAAAGTTGCTGTTGGCTAAACTCTAAAATCTTAATTGCTTCTTAATATTCTCTGCTTATTTTTCCCTTTGAAACCACAGTCTATAGCATTGTAGTGTTTAGATTAAAAATCAGAATGGAAAACAAACAGTGGAAGGTCACCAGTCGCTCCTAAAATATGGGGTTTTTTTTCTAAAATGACAGAAGTTAATGTGTATCAAAGTATTTTAGTTGATTTCCCAACTCTAGACACCCTCCTGCACCTCTGTGAAAAAGAAAGTGGCACTGACCCTGGGTTTCCCTTAAAGTGTCAATGCTCAGGACTTGTTCAGTTTGCAACAGAATATAGTGGAAGTGCTGGAACAGACATGTTTTGAGACATATTATGGCTCAGCATGTTGTAGGAACTTGCCTTGTTGCAAAAAAAAAAAAAACCTGAAGTCACACTCAATCCCTAAATAGTTTGGAGGTCACTACCAAACCCACTCTGCAATTCTCAGAGCTTGTAGAAAAGGCTGTGAGAATAACAGTGGCAAAGACTGCAGACAATCCAAGTCAAATTTTTAACTGACCTTGAAGAGCTGCAGAAGCATCTCATGATACCGAGTCTGGGTATAAAATCACAGATGCAAAACAAATGCCCAGGAATGCAAAAATAATGTGCTTGGGAAACTGCACCTTACAACGCACACGTTTTAACAGGTTCTAGATGAGCTAGCAGTGCTCCAGCGAAAGGTCCTAAAATCCCAGTGAGTCATTCTCAGAAATACTCCGTAGTTGTCCCTACAGCACAGAATTTCAGGAACAAGTATAAAAGGAATGAAAGCAGAAAAAGAAATATCATTGTACCACTGCAGAAGCGAGTAAAATGAGGATCTGGTCTCCTCACCTTTTCTGCTGCTAAGACTCAAATTCTTGACTCGATACTAGAAGAAATCAATTTCAAGCACTAGAAGTCCTGGGAGCATAGTCCCCTTCATCACGACAGCTCAAGGATCAGCTGGGCCAGCTTTTCCTCAAGAGGAATCAAAGATGCACAGAAGCAAACTTAAATTACAGCCATCATTGTCCCTCCTGCCCAGGAAGCCCGACTGTCAACCAGCCCCAGCGAACTTCGTGGCTCCTGGTCATCCCGTGATGGTGCTCTCCTCTTTGTTCCGCAATAAAAGGCAGTACAATTTTTGCAGCTTCATTATGCTGACCTAGTTTATTTTCCACTCAACCAACTTAAAATCACAGAGCCCTCTTTGCACAGCAGTGCCATTAAAAGTATTGAATTCAGGAAACTTTAGTAGAAAGGTAATTCAGAGCTGCTGCTTGCCTGCAAGTTCCCATCCCTTTTCATTACTGAGATGGCCATCATGCTAAAAAGACGGAAGTGACCCTTTCTCTTCAACATCAATCATATTCTTTCGCCATTTGTCCAGGATCCACATGGAAAAGGAACTGAGCACAGCAAATTACCTCTGCAAATAGGGGAGTCTTGTTCAGAAATGGCACAGATAATTTCCAAATATATTCAATTACAAGAAGTCTCTAATGAACACAGCATGGAAGCTCAACAGATAAAGAAAGGAAAAGCTTCATCAAACAGTGACTGTTTCCTATCACTCTCCTTTTCAAATAAAGGGAACAGAAAATGAAGCTTCCTTACAACAAGACATCATCACAAAACTTACTTCATTGCTGTGTCATGGAACGGGTAACAAAGGATCCAAAAAGAGATAAACGCTTTGCCAAACCTTCACACACAACCTCCCCAACTCCTTATTTTGGTCCCTGGATAACAGGGCATCGATGCGATGCAGACAAGCAGAAGGCTTCGCTCTGCTTCATTGTTCTACTTATGTCAGCCCTGGTCTCAAATCATCTAATCCCACAAATGCTCAAAAACGCAAAAGTGCAAATATCATTTGTTTTACCCTCAGAGTGTATTGCCAAAGGGTAACTATGTCTCTTCTGCATTTTCTAGTTCTCTGGGTTTTGTTTTATAATGTCTTTTCTCACACCAAAACAAAAGAACTGCTATGTAAGAAAAGACCCCTCAGTCCAGCACGCCTGTCCCCTTGAGGGTTATCCTTTCATAACAAGTGTTTCTCTGCTGTGCACTTCAATACCATGTTTCCCATACTGAAAAATCTGTCTCAAACTCATTTTCATGCCATTTGCTTTGATGGTGTTGTTTAGCAAATTATTCCATATGTTGCCCATTACATTTTAAGCTAAGTATTTCTTCCTGAAAATCCAGATCACTGTTCCTTTCAAACTTGTAAATTAGACTCTGCGGTGTTTGAGGAGCTGTTTTTTCCTTACTTTAAAACACTCACAGAGATAAATATTTTATTTTCCTAAGGAAAGCTAATCACACTGAAAAGGGCACACAAAATGCCGTGTTGCCACTTCAATGACGCGGTCTGCACAGCGTTAAATGTTACTGTGGATGATCTGTGTTCTAGTTGCTTGTTAATTTATCCCAAAATGCACGTTCACTTTTTTTCATACACTCTCTGTATTTGTTAAAAAATCCTCAGTACTATGTAGGTAGACACGATAGATCATTTTGAAGCTAGTACATGTGTGCTCTCAAGTTTTTTTATTGTTTCTCAATTTCTTGCTTCATATTTATCAAAAAACTTTGACTGCTACATGACATACTTTCCACATCTATATTCATTTTTAATCTCCAACTTTTTTTTAGTATCAATTATACACAAAAAAATTGATCCACTGTTGTCAGGGGTATTAATGTCAATGCTCATAATTTTCCCAAAGCTATTGATGAATGTTAACTACTCATGCATATTATGGAGAGCAGATAAGAAACAATTGCTGTCCATATTCAAAATAACAAACATTACTGGAAAAGTAATTTGGTTTCAGTTAAACTCTTTGTTCATATATCTTCCCTGATTTATGTGCTTGTTTGCTATTACGAAGCAAATAAAAATGTTATGAGGTGGATGGTTAGGAAATTTTAAGATAAAAAGTATTTAACTTTGATTAACATATTTTAATTTTGGACTTGAGTAATATTACGATGTATAATAGAAGCCAATATTTATCAAAAATTAGTCCCTAATTATTGGTCACTAAGCCAGTACTTTCCAACTTTAGTATCTTCTCAGGGAAAGTTTGCAATTATTTCTCTCAGTCCATTACTGAAATTGCAGGAAATGAAATGTTTTCCAAACAATGAGAGGTACCAACATTCTTCTTGGTAACAGCTGTTAGCATTTTATTTCAAAACCTTTCCTCCTTAGAAGAGCATTTTGTATCAACACAAGGCAGATACTACTAACCCCTTGCTACAGTGCTTCAGGATATACTGCATCCTTCAAGGGCTTTCCTGGTGTCAATGTGACCAAGTTTAGTCCTTCAAATGAAGACAATATGTATTGAAGGACAGGACACTACAATGGGATCTTCAGAACCTTTCCAATTTCAGCTTTAGTGCAACATCACTGCAATTTTATTCATCGTTTTACTACAGTGATGTTAATTACTTGCAAATGTTAATAGAAATTATTTTCACAAGACTATTATCACCTATTTATTAATATTCTTTCAAATGTTCCCAGCCTCAACAATTTGGCCAATTAATTGCCAGTGAAATGGGTGTACTGAAAAACAGCTTGGTAGTTTTTTAATAGATTATGCAAATGTAATGATCACTGGACTGCTATTTCTCATAAAAGCTACTTTTCTGTGTCCCATCTAATCAGATTTTGAAATAATTCCTAAGTATATTCTATGAAGGTAATTCCTGGTTAATTTTCACTACCAGACAAATGAGGTGTCTTTGGTTTCTGGTTCCGGCACAAGAAGGTAGGTGCTGCAGGTTTTAATTTACTTTAAATCAAATGGAGATGGATTTGTTGATGCTAATTCTAGTCTCCACCACTGACCAGTGCCCACTGGTGTAAAGGACAGTATCTCTTTGTAAGAGGCAATCTTTACTTTCAAGACCTTGAAAGGTGGCACTTCCAAACACTTCACCAATGCTAAAGAACTCCTACTCGGAGCATTGCCATGTAACGTGAAACAAGCTTATCCTACTTTCTTGAAGTACAGTCAAAGAAAGAAAAGAATTGCTTAAGATCACACAGGAGGTCTGTGGCAAAGCCACCCATGGAACCAAGTCCAGTCTCACTGGGCTTTTCTGCCATGACCACCATTCCTGAAGGCCAAGACAAAGATACCTTTTTATAGCTGTATTAGAGGGACTAATTGTGAAAATATTTGTTGGCATTACAGCTGGCTCTACCATTCCTAGAGCTCTACTAAGTTCATTTTCATGACACAAAAATCAATATTTAAGACAGGTGAATAGCTAACCAACATTCTAGCATCCAGAGAGTCATCTAATACATCTAACACCATAACATCTAAGAAAATAAAAAACACAGGACCACAATAAAAAACACCACCTGAAAGGTGTTTTAAATCATAATCGGTTTCCCACCAAAAGGAAACAGGCTCACCTCCAGTAGACAAGCACAGCAATGAGAAGAATGAGGCACACGAAGGTCAGTGCTGAGACCACAATAAGCGGGATGATCCATTCCATTTTACCAGGAGAAGGTCTCGTGGCCATGCTGGAGCTGTTCTTGTCAGCTGTGTGTTAAACATGTAAGAAAAACAATCACTAAATGCAAGGAGAATTACTGTGTGGAACCAACGTGTAAGCAAAACAAATAGCTTGTCCGTTTTACATGGTATGAGTAAACAGAGCAAAGATCTAACTGCAGTGTGGGACTCCATTTGTCTTTAGTCTGAGACATGAGAGCACAAAAGTATGGTGTTTATTGCCACATATGGCTTGGATTTTACTAATGCCTGCAATTACAGTCTCATAGACATTTTAGGACGCTATCATGCAAGCACGTATTATCAGGCGTGGAGTACCCCGCTGAGTCGTTTCACCACGGTAACAAAGTAAACGCTTTGCTCGGTCATCAGCGTTTGCAGATAAATGCACTCCGTTTCTTGACAGTAGAGGACAGCCCCGTTTGCAAAGCTCAGTGTTAATACTTTGCTTCAGAAATAAATTTCTTGGTAACCATCTTAAAATAAAAAATCCTCAACATGTTGTGTGCCATGTCACATCATTTGCGGAATTGTCACAATCTGGTGAGTTACTGCATACGAAAGCACGTTTTAGCATATGGATTGTCAAGATGGATGGATGAATGAATGGAGAGGATGTGTTGTAACTGACAGAAGAAATCATTATGCCACAGCTTTTGAACAAAATTAAAGTTGGTCAATATCCCGAGATCTGGCTGAGTAACTCCATTTCACTTTTTGCATGACTTCTCGTTAAAATAACTATGATATGCAAGATGAATAGCTAGAGGTTCTGCAAGTACTGGAGCCAATGAGCACAGACACTGTACCAACGTATTTCAAAAGGCATCTAATTTGGGCAAATTCACGTAGACTTGACGAATAAATTGTTTTAGACAAAATGATAAAAGAAAAATACAGAAGCGGATTCTGCATCTTACTCATGTTTCCTAACAAACAGGCAGTAGCTGATCAATACCTGCCAACAGGATGCAATAGGAAAGGATTAGTAAACAGCTTCAGATTTGAATGAGGATTCAAGTGTACGCACTTGACTTCTACTTTTTAGCCTACGTGAGTCTTTCCTTACCAATGTGCTTCCTTGCCCTCGTTCAGGATTGTATTATCATATCTTCTGAAACCGCTGCAAATCCTACCAGAAGAACATAATTGCCTTTTCACCGTAGGCAGGCAAAACACAGATAATTGGAAGTCACCAGATGTCACATAATATGAAGTCATACTCTATTTTAATAGCATTTAGATTATACTCCTCCATAGGCAGGAGTAAAATTCAACTAACATAGAAGTAAAGGTTAATTGTAAATGCTTTTGCCTGACTGCTGAAAACAGAGCAAGGCTGCAGGCTGCTGCAAGCCCAGCAAGAAATCTTTCTAGTTTTAAGAACCAGGCTGATGGAGGTAATGCCCTTTAGCAAGCAGCCTAAATGAGGTGCTAATCAGAGGGATGTTTGGGGGAAGTGAACGTGCGCTGAGTATAGAACTGATCAAAAGAGAGATGAGTAGCCAGTTGTCTCCAACTTCAGTAAGGAAGGATACCGAGGTTGCAGAACAGGCACATGATGTTGTACCTCGAGCACGTGGTGAGATTTTGTCTTTGCGGTGCACTAATAATACACAACATGCCGGTTTTAAGGCAGGTCTTTGACTTCCTTGACAAGCAAAGAATAAGGAAAAGAACCCCAAAACTAGAGCAAAGGCTTGTTCTCCGTATTTGCCAAACTTGCAAAAATTGTAAGCCCTGAGGCATCAGTTTTTATCAGTGCATTTCAAATCATTTAACAGCATGAAAAAATTAAGCCTGTGAGGTAAGTGTTACTAATCAGAATGGTAAAAGGGACAAAGCAAAAAACCATGTAATGTAATAAAACTTAGTAGGAGAGCCAAAGAGTCCCACCACCTTACATCCATTAGGGTGTTGCTTCATTTCTCTCCAAGGACAGTATTCTGTTTAGTTTCACCTCCACATAGTTCAACACAAAAACATATGTTTCTGTTTGCATGGGAAGAAAATTAAATTCCATTGTAAGCACAGCATGGGCTGGAGTCCCAATGCAAACTATTAAATTCTGCAGAGCTCACGATGCTCCTCTTAGTCAGTCTACTGCGGAGAACACACTTGTTTGACCCTGCCAACTCCCTGTACCGCTGATGGGAGGATAAGAAAGCCTTGAGTGTGCTGAGTGCCAGAATAGCAAATGCCATTCCCACATGCTGATAGCTGGCCCCAAAATTCCAGTTGGGAATGCCCAAGCAGTGATATGCTTTGGGAAAAAAGAGACCGTTCCTGTGCTGGCTTTGAGGAAGAAGTCTTAGGTGTTTTCCACTGCTTAAGTAAAGTCTTGAGAGAGCTTAAACAAACCAAAGCCAATACAAATTGTACTGGAATGAGAGCTGGGGCCAGAAGTACAGCAGTACAGCTGGAGCGCTGGCGCCTGTCTCTTGAGTGTCATGGCAGAAAAGCCTGAGAAAAGGTAGCACGCTGGGTAACTTGGAAAAAGAGTTGAAGAAAATACACACAAAAAGGGACAGATTTGGGCCTTTACAGCTTCCTGTTCTCCTACATAACAAAATATTATAAAATAAAAAATAGTCAGTATTTCACTCTTTTCCAAAGCAAGAATGTTGAGCCTTGGTAGTGTCAACAGCATATCTTTGTAACAGTGCCCACCATACGCCGTACTTCAGGGGAAAATTTAAAAAAGCTTAAAAAATGGACCAGGAAACTCCATTTTTGCTAAGAAATGTAAACAGTTTCTAGTGGCATATGCCTTCGTTGAATTAATTCAGTTTGCCTTTTACTGGCTTGGAATTCATCCCAGTAGGAAGGAATAAAAATTATTACAGCGTATCTGTTTCAGGAGGTCCCACACGATACAAGCCCCAGCACTGCTAAATCCACTCCTGCCTCTGGAAAAAACCATAATTCCTGTGCACCACCCATTCAGCAGCTCCATCCAGGCCCTGGATGGATGAGGCCCTGGCACAGAGAGTATCAGAGGGCGTTAGGCAGTGAGGGAGGCTTTAGCAGCGCAACTCTTGCACAAAGGTCAAGGCAAAGAGGCATTCTACAATTTGTGAACTGTACTGTTTTTCTGTGTATTCTTGGTAACTGGTTCCTGAGAATAGAATTTTATTTCCCTCAAGAATCACTGCTTGCTATAATAAGCAATGATCTCTGTATTATGCAACCCATCTACCTTTATCATCCATTGCACAAACCGCCAGGACAAAGTTCTGTTTGTTGTACCATTACAGATACCGTTAACTACAACGGCACGTGTGTTCAGAGGCCAAAGGAAAACCCACGCTGCCAAACCGCCTCAGATCACCTGGTTGCTCAAAAGGAAGTCAGCTGCTCATCTTTCCTTTGAGTAAATGAAATGGACTTAGACAAAGGTATCAATTAATTCTGGAAAACAGTTTTGGCCACATTATTAAACGATGAAAAGGCAAACCCATGTTTTTAAAAGAAGTATTACCTTTGGTACAAGCTCATGCCATTGTGCAGCTATTTTCTCCCTGTTTCTTCAAAGGCTTTCCTGCAGTAGTCATACTTCCAGGCTGTGCACAACTAAGCATGGCTTTTCACTGTTTTGGAAACAGATGCCAATCATATTTAATCCTGATGTCAGCTATCTGAAATTCATACTGTTTGCAAACATCAAATAATTCTATCCTTTTATTTTCAAGCCATTCTGCTGTTTGCTCCTGTAAGTTGCCATGCAAAATGGCTCAAGTGCCACATGAAAATACAGCTTAATAATGCTTGCCACGTATGGAGAAAGAAAGAATTACACAGATGTTTAATTATCTTAATGAGGTTATCCCCTAAAGGCTTTTGTAACCTCAGACCTGGCAAAGACTGTTCTAAAAACCAAAATTCAGTCTCTGCTAAAAGCATACAGCGGGCCTGAAATTTAACCTTGCACATCATGATCTCTCTACAAAGCCCTCTCGTGGGAGGAACTCGGCAGAAGTGGGTGAACGCTGAGGGGTGGGAGGACGTGGCTGAAGTTTGGATCAAGGGCCAAACCCATGACTTTGTTCTCAGCCCCAGCTCACGACTCAGGCAAAAGCCCCAGCCGGATATCTACTGCTCTGCACCCAATCGAATCATGCTGTTGGTTTTTTTTTTTTGTTTTTCCTTTGTTTTTTTTTTTTTTTTTTTTTTTTTGTAGAGCATCATTCTAATTGCTGTTTTTCTAATTTTCAGGTTTCAGAGTCGCGGACAATGCTGAGCAGCTGCGTGTGTAACAGTTGCAGATCAAAGGTACAATTAGTCTAATGTGGGCACCAAAACAGAGAAAAAGGATGATCAGGAAAATGAAAGAGGAGAATGCAAGCAAGCGTTCAGTGACAGAAGAAAATCATTAGCGCTGGCCGATACCACCAGACAAGAAGAGGCCAATGCCATTTGGAAAATAATGACATGGCCTCAGGAGAGGTGTGTGTGTGTATGTGTGTGTGAAATAAGCACTAAAAGAAAATGAGCCTTGCTGTACTAATTGGCCTCGCACTTTCCCTGTAATTTCTCATGTGTTCCCCGTTCTCCTCTAATCATCCACACTCATGAGTACTTCCCCATTCAGTTATCTCCTTACAACTGCTAATTTGATGCTATATAATTAATTTTACAAGTGTACATTGTTATGAAACAATTTTCTACTCTTTAAAATGATTAAACTTTCTACTCATAAAAACACTTTTGAAACCTTGGCAGCTTTTTAAAAACTGCTTTCCTGGAGAAAAAATGCATCCAAAAAAGTTTCTGCCCTCTAAGGGACACAGTAAGCTGCAGGGGTTCTTTCTGCTCACTTTGGTGGTGGCCTTCACCCTCTTTTAACTGTCCTGATGCTCAGGAGTGCTTTCACGCATGTCTGGCAATTTTCTCTTGGCTTGACTGGTTGTTTTCTTGATTTCAGGTTTACCTCGTTATGGAAAACCTTTAAGGGCCTTTCTCAAAGGAAGAGGTCTTGCTTATGTCTGGAGTTTCACTGAACTCAACTCCTTGCGTGAGCTAAGTCAGGTCTGTCTGTATGAATTGCAAATTTCCATATTACTGTGGAAAACAATTAAGCTGAAGCAACTAGTCTTAGGCTTTGTGCTAGTGTATGATTGATGGTCTGATTCACCAGCTGTGGTTTTGCTGGCATGTTCCTTTGGAAACCTAGATCCAGCCTGGAGGAAGGCTCCTTCTCCTGCATTCCCAAGTCTTCTCACAGGGGTAGCACTCCCAGCAGGCCAGCCAGGCCTGACTCAGACACATCTAGTAAAATATTTGGGCAAATTCCAGGTTAGGTAGACCTCAGCTATCCACTGCAGAGGCCTGGTAACACAAGATGCAAAGAGAAGGAGGACTTGCCCGAAGAGACTTTGAAGGACAAGGTCCTCACACCTGGTACAGAGAGATTCAGACTGAAAGCCGCTGTCCCAAAGCCAATAAGAAACATCTCAAAATGTTCTCAGAGCTGAAATCACTAGCCCTTCCCACCGTCTGGACAGGGAGTCACCAGGTTTGTGACCAACCTAACTTCTTCCACTTGGAGGTCAAGGACAGGGAATGAACCTCTGCCCCAAGGAAAATGGCACAAATGAGCCCTTCTTCATCTCTGAATGGCCGTTCCCAGCCCTTTCGCTGCTGCGTGTCCTCTGCAGTGCACTGAGGGTATGTCCCAAGAGGTTTAACTGAGATTTAAGTAAGGTTAACTTGGGTGGAACAGGCAACTCTTTTACTTATCTTTTCTCCCAGCTAACATGTGCTGGTTATTTCAGATGCCATTTCCTACACATTTTTGTAAGACACAGTGATCTTAGTAAGTTATCCTCCTCCACGTATAAGGAAAACCTAATTTGCAGAGTCCTTCCAAGACTGATCATCTTTGTGTGCAGTCTTCAGGCCTCACTTCAAGCCTCCAAGCCTGCAAGCGAGCAAACCTCTTAAAAGAGGCTGTCTAGCAGGAGGCAAAGCTGTATTGAACCACTTTCAGTGATAGTTCTCTGCATGCTAAAGAGAGACAGAAATCACTACAGACTATGGGGATATCATTCACAATAACCAGTAAGTACTTCTTAGCAATATTAACAATATTTTCCCATCTCATTGATTTTCATCTTTTTCATCTTAACTTCACTATGGGATAAAAACCGATCTAATAACAATCCGTTCATCATCAGCTCAGAAACAAGACCAACTACCCATCTTTCCTCCGATTTATTAGGCTAAGAATAAGCCATGAGGCTCTTTCTGGTCTTATATAAGCGACATTGTACTTGGGTCATTCCAAGAAGCTGGCACACAAGAAACAGGGAAGCAGAAGGCAGGAAGAACTGAAGACAGCCATTTCAGAGGCAGGTTTACCCAGGCAGATTGAATTCATAGAATCATAGAATGTTTTGGGTTGGGAGGGACCCCTAGAGGTCATCTAGCCCAACCCTCCTGCAAGTGAGCAGGGACATCGCTAACTAGATCAGGTTGTTCAGAGCCCCATCCAACCTGGCCTTGAATATTTCCAGGGACGGGGCCTCCACCACCTCTCTGGGCAACCTGTTCCAGTGTTTCAGTTGCTGGGGTTTGAACCTCGACGGTGCTGAATGCTTACTCCTTACATTGCAAAGCCCAGCTAGGACAAGTTCCCTCCTTCCTAATAAAAAGGCAATCAGGGCAAGTGGCAAAAGCTGCCTGACAGGCATCTCATACCATATTCAGTGGGAGCACTGGACTTTGAAGAAGATTTCCAGTTGAGGAGTAAGAAAAACAGCAGCGTATTTTTAAAAAATCAGCACAACCTGGTGCAGGTTTCTTGGCTTCCGTGTTGTTAATCTGTTCTCTTACAGAACAGTTATGATTCACAGCATTAGAGTCAGGTCAGCATTTCTGTAACAAATGTTATTAAAGACTGGATTTAGCTTTGTTTTTTAAATTGGTTCTGAGTTATAACTGAGTGCACGTCTGCACTTTTTGTGTTTATAAATAAAAAGGGAAAAATAAGTATGTAAGTTTTTTTCACAGTACTCTAACTCCAGAGCAGCTTTGGTGGAAAAACAAAATTACAAAACAGTCTATCAAAATAAACAATAACCGTAAAAAAACAAAAACAAAAACCAAAACCCAAACAAAAATGTGCACTATCTTATAAATGCTGTGGTAATACACATAATCACTCAGATAAACTCACTGAAGTATCTAAATCTCAGTCCTTACTCTGCAAATAAATCCATAAGCATGTACTCCATTTGCTCCTTGCCGTTATAAGATCTGTTTTCCTCACCAGTGCCTAGAGCTCCTTGAGCAGATGCTCTGGACTTTCTGCACAGTGAGTTGGGAGCACCCCAGAGATACCTGTTTGCATAGGCCCACGCAGCAAATCCTGACCACACAGGGCTTGGTGCACATGCAGATCACCTGGGCATGCTTCCAGAAGGTGGTATTTGCTGTGTACTTACTGGGGAGTTGGTACATACATCCAGAGTTGGCGTGTACAGGAGCATCGGTAATTCTCACCAGGACAAATACAGAAAATACATGAACTCTGCCTGGTGTATCGGGTTTGCATGGCAAGGGTTTGGTAGCAGGGGGACTGCAGAGGGGGCTTCTGTGAGAAGCTGCCAGAAGCTTCCCCCATGTCCGACACAGCTAACACCAGCCGGCTCCAAGATGGACCCGCCGCTGGCCAAGGCTGAGCCCATCAGTGACGGTGGTAGTGCCTCTGGGATAATGTATTTATGAAGGGAAAAAATCATTGTGCAATTGCAGCTGGTGAGAGGAGTGAGAAGATTTGAGAGGAGCAGCCCCGCAGACACCCAGGTCAGTGCAGCAGGAGGTGGCTCCAGGCGCCGGAGCAGAGATTCCCTTGCAGCCCCTGGTGCAGCCCACGGTGGGGCAGACTGTCCCCCTGCAGCCCATGGAGGCCCATGGCAGAGCAGATCTCCACCTGCAGCCTGGGGAGGACCCCGTGCTGGAGCAGGGGGGTGCCCGAAGGGGGCTGTGACCCTGTGGGAAGCCTGCACTTGGAGCAGGCTCCTGGCAGGACCTGTGGCCCCGTGGGGAGAGAAGCCCAGGCTGGAGCAGGTTTGCTGGCAGGGCTGGTGACCCTGCGGGGACCCATGCTGGACCCATCTGCTCCTGCATCCCGTGGGAGGGATGGCCCCACGCTGGAGCAGTGCGTGAAGAATGTCAGCCCGTGGGAGGGAGCCACGCTGGAGCAGCGTGTGGAGGACTGTCTGCTCTGGGGGGACCCCAGGCTGGAGCAGGGGAGGAGTGTGAGGAGTCCTGCCCTGGGGAGCAAGGAGCGGCAGGGACAGCATGTGATGAACTGACCCCAACCCCCATTCCCCACCCCCCTGCACCGCTCGGGGGGAGGAGGGAGAGAAAATCAGGACTAAAGTTAAGCCTGGGAAGAAGGGCAGGGTGGGGGGAAAGTGTTTTAAGATTTGGTTTTTATTGTCTCATTACCCTCCTCTGATTTGATGGGTAATAAATTAAACTAGTTTCCCCAAGTCAAGTCTGTTTTGCCTGTGTCAGTAAGTGGTGAGAGATCTCTCCCTGTCCCTATCTCAACCCCCGAGACTTTCATTGCATTTTCTCTCCCCTGTCCAGTTGAGGAGGGGAATGATGGAGCAGCTTTGGTGGGCACCTGGTGTCCAGCCAGGGTCAACCCACCACACCTGGCTAAGATGTTTTTTTTTTTTCCACAGGAAAAAAAAGAAGGTAACCCTAGTGCAAAAGGTGCCTTGTCTTAGAACATCAGAGCATGTAGGTTTTGTGGTGAGAAATAAACCAGCGATGATCCTGTAATTTGGGAGAATATCTCAAAGCCCAATCAAGGAGAATCCTGCAGATAAACTAAATTAGCTCACAGCATATATAGCAACCTTCCCATGAAACACCAGCTCAGCACAGCAACTGCTCTTCCAAATTAATTTCACAGCTATAGTTCACTGCATTCCCCTCTTTTTTTTTTTTAAACAAAATCCTTAATGCAGCATGTCGGGGGTTAAAATTTTTCCAAATTCTCTCTTCTATTAAGCTACAAGGACCGTGAATCTGTTCCACTAAAATAAAAGGATGATCCTTCCCCATCTCCTCCCCCAATAACAGTTTGTGGGTTGGGTTCTGTGACAACCTGTCTATTGGATGAAGGCAGGCACCACAAAAATGTTGTATCTACTGGAAATCAGTAAGGAATTTGGATTGTGTCATTTTCCAACAGTCTTATGCTGGTAAAAACAGTTTCCCCGGAGGTCACTCACCTGGGTTAATGGTGATGAATTTGTTATCTGAGGGGTATTCCTCTGGAAACCTGTCCTCCTTTGGAGGAGGTTTTCTTGTTGTCTCTGGTCGTCTTGGGATCTTCCCCAGGTAAAGTTCGTTGGTGAACGCTGGCGGCACTTGGGTGGAAGGGATCGGCTGGGGCTGAGTGTCTGCTTCGGCAAAGCTCTCCTCCACGGGACCTCTAGCCGTGGGGGCAACGTTTTGGTTTGGTTCTTCACCCGATATGGTTTTATTTCCTTCCTCCTCGGCAGTCCGGTTGGGGGAAGCCGTGGCCATGTTGGGCTCCGTGCTATTGCGTGCCTCCGTGGCCGCCGTTGCCCTGTTTTTCTCCTTCTTCTCAGCATCCTTTTCTTCCTCTTCCTCATGCTCCCGCTCCCCATCCTCGCTTTCACTCTTTTCGTCCTTCTCCCCCTCCTCGCCTGCTCCCTCGCCGTCCTTGGTCAGCGCTGAGTCCCGCTCTGGCCCCGGGTCACCACTGAGGCCACAGTGGCCTGGCTGCCGCTGGAGGAAGGCCCCATCCCCGTGGCCATGGACACGAAGGAGAAGGGGAGCCCTGAGGAAGTCCAGGTGGAGGAGCCGGAGCTGATGGGAGCCATGTCGGCTGAGGAGGCAGGAGATGCTGTGGGCTTGAAGGAGGTCACCGGCAGCAGAGGGGAAGAAAACACAGCAGAGAGCATCAGCAAGGGCCCCAACATGCTACCTGTGGTCATTTTTCTCTTGCTTTTCCCTCCCATTCCACACACATGACGTTCTGGTTGCTATTCTCTTAAAATGAGAGACCTACACCAGCTGGATGCAGGGCCAAGCCAGGAATGGGACATGCCTCAGAGCTACAATGGCAAACCACGAAGGGAGGAAACTTCCCCGCATTCGCCACTTCCAAACAATCACTGGCATCAAAAACCTCTTTACCCTTATCTTTATTTTACAGTGGGACCTTTTCCACCCACGCCATCGGTGACTTGTGAGTAACATTTCCTCTCAGGGGTGAGTAGGATGTAAAGGAGTTTAATGAGTTTAGCTGCATTACTCACAGTGCTTTAATCCTCAGAATACAGAAGTTTAAAAATACAGCGTTACATAAGGGCTGTCCCAAAATAAGGGCTGTGCTGCCAACGTGAGCATCCATGGCTGGTGGGTCTGCTCTGACAGGGAACTCTGGCTCTTCCCACACACATTGTGAGGGCCTCAAACGCTACTATTTTTATTTCCTTAATTTACCCATCAGCATTATTCTTCCTAAGGACTGATGCTGCACTGAGGCATCGCTCTTCTTAGAAAAGACCTGCAGCACGGCCAGCTGGGCACTCCTGAAGGACTTGGAGAGCATCAGAAGCCCTTCTGCGAGTCACCACGACCTCTACCAGGACCACCATGCTGTGGCACCCCCATATAGACTCAGCTTTCCCCATCCACAGGGCTCTCTCCCTGGCCACCACCAGTGACCCAGAGCCAGGGCTGGTACAGTCCCACTTCCCCTGGGGAGCTGAGAGGTAGCAGGGAATGAACCATGGACTTTGCATCCTCTGCACCCTGCCACTGTGATTGTAATGTTGACCCAGTGCATGCATGCTCGCATGTGGGTGGCTGTGGAAATGGAAATAAAACCCCTTGGTATATACTTAAGGAACTAGACAAGTCATTCCCCTTCCCAAATTACGTGTGGAAAAAGACACTGAAGTGAGTTGACTAAGGACAAGGAGTAATTCTGTGGAAGAGCTGGGGTCAGCAGTTCTGTCCGCACAACCTGGCCACGCTCCCTCTCGGACTTACTGAAAACTGTCTCATGTTACTGAATTCATCAGCAAGAGGAGCATTAGCCGGAAAGGTATGCATCAGACAAGGACAAACAAGGGTTAAACAGGTGCCACTGAATGTTGACCAAAACTGTAAAACGTTTATTTTTGGAACTGAAATGTATAACTTAACAGTATTTCTGCATCTCTCTGTAATTCCCAGTTTCAGGCAGGCTGTGTAGTTGAAATGCTGCAGCAAACCAAGAAAGGCTGCTTTCTCACATTATTTTGGACCAGCTGCAATCACAGACAACCTGAGATCTCAGAAGAAAACCTGTGCTTTAGAGATTTCAAGTCAAAACTTTAAATAAGCATCTAAACTTTTGGATACTTATCAGTGTGAACCCCTAAGGCACTGTGAGATTTGCTTTTTGCTGGCATGTACAGTCTCAAAGCTGGACTGAGTATTAAAATTTGACAGCAGATTTTATATGTCTAGAATACCTCTATACATCATTAAAAAACATTAATCATTCAAATTCAAGGTTTGTATGTATTATTTGCTTACTAGGGAGTATATCAAACGGGAACAGAATAAAACTAGAAGCAACGTACTTTGAGTAAATTCAGTAGTATGAATTCAGTCCATAAATTTGACTGAACAATTCAGTATACTGAATGCCAAGAAATTTAGGTTACGGATCGTTATGTCAAATAACCTAATAAGCTGCTTTCAAAACTGAAACAGTGTATTCCAGTTTTACTGTAAAAGTATCAACATTTCTGATTCTGGAATACAAAAGTCAGCTTTGGTGATTCATTACAGTCTCACCTGAATTAAAATTAAAACAAAGAGCTTGTTAAGGCTTTATTCCCGCAATAGCAGGTATCCTTAAAGCACTGGAAGAGCAAAGATGCTGTGCGTGCAGCCTTATTCCTGTTGCATATACTTCTGATCATACAGTTAATAAAAGAAATTAAATTTATTTCCACAGTCATCATTAAGATTACAAATCCCCTCTAAATGGGTTGAATAATTGTTTGGGAAGATTTTTTTAAACACGTGATTCTCCAGTGGTCAAAGCCTCTTGGAGCATAAAGCTAGAAAACCAAAACCCTTCGATATTTTAGGTATGTTATAAAACCTTTTGTGGCACATTTGAAAAACCACCTCCACAGGAAAGCCCGGTCCCACCACAGATTTCCAACATCGTGCTGCCACCTGGTGGGAATGCCACCCCAAATTACTGCTGCCCATCCGCGCTCCGCAGTGATTTATGGCCACGACTTACCACTCCTGTTTTCACAATTCTGGTCCCCTCGAAAATTCGAGTAGTGTTAGCTGAGAAACAAAGGACAGCAGCGTGTCAGCCCACTGTGAAGGGAGGCACCGCGAAAATTGCTAAGCAGCTGCGCAACGTTCCTACTACAAAACATGCCTGCAGGTCTCAGTTTGGAGTAAAAGCATCTCAGCTCGCTTGGTGTCACTCACCTTACTTTGTAATTGTGTCTAAAGACACGATTTTGTCTTTAATTACTCCGGCAATGCCGGTTTAAGTGCACTGTCAGAAAACACATGCTCTCCTTTCAAACCCAAGCTGGATGCAATGTCCTGACTTACACCAGAAGCAAGAGCAGCTGATGACAATATTTTTTTCAGCCCTTACAATATTATTATCATAATTTATTGCTATTTATACCAACTACAACTATAATCAGCCTCTGAAGAATGTTTTGAAACCTCAAGTGGATTCTTGTTCTAGATTAGATCTTGGGTACAGCCAAAGATTAGAAGAACAGCTCCTTTTTGGGGAGACATGAAAGTTCATGCTTTGAACACTGGGCCAGAGTACCTGGCCAAAGAGTATCTGGCAAACCTATCAATTATGATTTACTCTTAACTGGAATTAAATAGGTATCATGGTCAATTTTCCAAGAATTTTTCCATTCTGTTATCTGCTGAGAGAGGCCATAATCAGTAATATAAAAGTTTCTGACTTCTGCCTGGCACTTAAAGTGAAGTCCAAATCACTATGCTGAGATACTAAGAAACTGAGAACTACAGACCAGATATTGCTTGGACAGGACATTTCTCGTCCGATCCCTGCTCTCCCTGCGATGCTGCTAATGCTGTGGCGTGACACCAGAACGGAACTAAATTGTGTCCACAGCTTGATATCCTTCAGATGCTAAGTGCTAACAGAGTAGGACTAAAACCTCCACATTTTCCAAAAATCAGACTCAAAAATGCCTCTCTCATTTTGTTCCATACACAGCACTGTGTAAGTGACTTAAGTCTTTGCTTCACCTTAAGGATTTAAATTTTTAACTCTGCTTGTTTTGGTTTTCCACTACCCATTCCACGATTTATAAATCTGTAAACTGGAGTGGGAGGGAGTGCTCTCAACAGAGATGAATTTTGTCCTACTTCTTAAAAAAAAAGTAGCAAGAAATTTCTAGGAAGGAGCAGAAGTTCACCACTTAAAAAACTCAAAAAGCATCAAGTTCTTCTACCAAATCTCAGCTTTACCAGATTTCTCCAATAAACTTAAAAGGAAATCCATAACAAAGGACAGCTTAGCAACCAGCTCTTTAGCTTTCATTTAAATATGTATGTGCTGGAAATCACTGAGGTGGTGTGTGTGGTAAAACCTGAACATCTCCACATGTGGTTGTCAAGGTAGGCTGATCTCCTTTCCTCTTTACATAAAACAGACACCGATCAGACTCACATTCTGCTATAGCTGTGCCTCTGATGCATAAGCAGTCTCTGATGAATTTGTTTTAGAAAACAGTACCAAGAAAAGCTCCGAATTCTCCTAAAACCTGACAAATGCTGCCAGCAGAGAGGTGTAGGCAAACCCCCATCACTAGAAATAGGGCTCTGGTAAAGTCACCGGCCACAATCTGAAATTAGCATTATCTACCCGCATTCAAACATCTTCTGAAATCATTCCACAGCATATTGCACCCTGCAAAGAAAATGTTAAACACACAAAGAGCCATAGTGTAAAAATATGTATGTGTTTTTTTTACCTTGAAAGAGCATAGTCTGGCTAAAGTCACTACGCATTTCATTTCGGCAAACTGCTTGAACTCTGAACAGATAAAGGATGTCAGGTGAGACATGGCTAATGATGGCCTTCTGTTTAAAAAAAATAGATATTATTCAGTTTTTTACCCCCACAGTACTGTCCACGATCAGTTTGAAATATATAAAGCATTGCGCTAACACAGGACATTTCTGCCATATAAGACAAACTTATTTCTAAACAGAAATATTCGCTGGTACCCTGGAAGAGGACAAGGCCAAGGTCAAAGGACTTCCCTGGGATTGAAGTGATGCACCCAGACTCTGGTGACCCTTCCCACGAGAAAGAAATGAACACGTCCCACATCTACTCTCACGACAGTCTTCATACCTGAAAGTCTCTGCTCTCCTCAGAAAAACACGAACCTCAAAGCCATTTGGCCTTACAGGATTTAAAATGAGATTTTTACAGGTGGAGATCTGAGTGCCAAACCTGGGATAAGCCCAGAAAAGTCACTGTATGTTCAAACTGACTATTTATCTTGCAACAAACTGGCTATAGCAATTTGATGCCGGTGGCCTGTGTAATACCGTGGCTCGGTACCCTGGACTGGGGTGTCCCTGCGTACTTTTACACCTGAGATACTGCCTTGCTGCCTCCCAGCTACTCTTCTGTGTTGCCTTAGTCCATGATCACATCAGGCCATGTCTTGTGGCAGACAGCAGCAGTAGCTGTGTGGGTCACTTGAAATACCAGTGATCTCCTTAGCCAAACACTGTCTAGCTCCGTTTCAAGACGGGACAGCCCAGCTGCCTCTGCCAGAGCACTGAAAGCAAATTGCACTTGCCTCTGAAAAAGACTTTCCTTCTTCTTTTGCCCCTAAAATAGACTAAGCTGCCATTGCTTTCTTAACCTCCAGGCTCTGCTGCACAGCACAGGGTCTCACTGCAATTTATTTCCAAGCTATCACTCCATCACATCCCCTGCACTTTTAATTATTTCTTTTACATAAAACAGAATGCTGTCACTGTGCCCACCTCATTTTTGCTGATTAAGGCTCTCCTACTTATACCTGATTAAAAAAAATCTCCCTTAAGAGTGTGAAGTTATGACAAGAGAGAGGTTACAATACATCATAACCTTGGGTGCCTTTCAATAGATTCCTTTCTGATTTCATGAGGCACATCGTTCCCTAATGTGACCCAGATAACAATGTCTAGTGGGGAAATTGAAAATATAAATGGAAATGAAGTAAAAGAATCTTCATCTAAGGGAATAAGAGAAGTATTATTGTATAACTGATTGAATGGGCCCAGAGGACTGTGTATTTGAAAAAAAAATATGATAACAGTCATTAGGACTAACACTCTGTGCTGCTGCATTTTTCATGTGCATATACAATTACTGATTTCATTATTCTAGAAGCTTTCTTTGATTAACAATAAACGGAGGCCTTTCAAACCTGAATATGTCTCTTTGATTTTATATGCAGAGAATGTTAAAGACCAGTACAATACTTGCTTCCACTTAGACAAGAATGACAGGCAGATCGAATCCTAAATGGAGGAGATAGATCAGTGTTCCCATCTGCGCTGGAACTGTCTTGCTCTTCCCTCTTTTTCTCCCACCGCCAGACGTGGGCAGTGCTGGTACAGGGCCACTCCACAATAATCTTCTAGCCCCAACCATGCAACTCCTACTGCTGGCAGCACTTGCTGCCAGGAACTGCTCCAAGGACTGCAAGGGGCTCTGCACAGTGAAAAGCCTGAGCCCAGGAACAGATTTTTGGGGGATCGGACTTTTAATGTGAAAATACGTGAGCTGAACACAAGCCAAAAGGTATTCAGAGCCTATCTATTTCCCGAGCCAGCTGCTTCTCAGCTACAGTATATGAAAAAGCATCTGCAGATTTAGTCCTTTACGCACTCACATAAACTATAAATTCACACTCTAGTGTTTTGGGTAGTCTGTTAGGCAACGTTCAACTAATGCTGAACATTTTAATAGCAATTAATTGCAAGTCAAACACTATCCTGTCTGTAAGGTAACAACTGCTTTCCCTCTTCTACTTCTTTCTACTGAGAAAATAAAAATATAAGGATAGCTTGATACATATGTCTGGGGTTGATGCTGAGGTTTTACCAGGTCCTTGTCACTGTCCTTGGTGAAAGTCTTCTCCTTTTCATCTTCGTTTTTAGTCCAGCTATATGAGATCATGTAGTTCATGATCGGAGGGTGGTAGATGATTTCTGGTTGGTTCCAGGTTACAAGTAATGCTGTCCTGTTCACAGGCTGCACTTTCATGTTGACTGGGGGAGTGCTGCAAGCTAAAAAACAGAAGGAAAAAATATGAAGCTCTCCTAAATAACAGAGGGAAAACAAACAGGAAGAATTGTGCTTCACTCTAAAAGCCAGGTTTTTTCTTTAATGCCCTTGCCTACAGTAATAGCTTAGACTGCAATCCACTGAGACCAATGGGATTTAATACCACCTGCAGCTGCTTTCTGCTCTCCAGAGTAAAGGGAGTGAGAGAATCCATTCTCTGCAGGCAGGTTGCTTAGTTCTCGACTTATTTTCAGTCCTGACATTTGCACATACACTTCAACTTGGTCTCTTAAGAACTCTGCATTGGAACATAAAGAAGTCCCATCAACCTGCGTCCCTGGCCCCCAGTCTCCTGACGTATGAAGGGGGTAAATGCTCCAGCGTGCTCTGCAGGCCCTGGAAATAGTTGGAACCTCTGAAAACATGACACTATTGGGTCAGTATTTTCCTCTTAACCTAGTACATTTTTGCACATGAGCATAAGTTACTTTATACTCCTCTTTCTGTATGTTTTCCTTCATAGATTCTCAACTGTTTGTCAGTAATGTATCACCAGCACAGGGAATAGTGGCTCTTGGTGGCCCTTGGCCACCTCCTTCTCATAACAGGCAAGGGAACCCTCCAGCCAGGCTCCGAAATCCGTGCTTTCCTAACCCTGCCCGCAGCGGGGAGGCACAAGTTACTTCTCACTCAAGCTTAAGTTGGTGGGGACGTCAGCATCGGAACAGCTTAACCAGCGGCCAAAACTACAGCTTCTGCTTCCTGCAGACACCAAAACCCAAACTTCTCTAGGGAAGACCAAGCCCAGGCGCAAACTCAGCTCATACTCTTCAGGAGGAGTGGGGTGTGCACAGCTTTTCGAGCCATCGAAATGTAAAGGTCAGGGTGCTAATGAAGAACACTAGATGGCACTCATATGCTATCGGAAACGTACATTGTGCAATTCCCAACTATAAAGAGTTTAGATTTTTTCCAACCTTTAAAATCATGTTTAAAATACACAATTCAGGATAGATTCTCACATTCTCTTTCCCACTATAAACTACAGAAACCAAGAAAAATCACTTGCAATGATACCTAAACACATGTGCCGTGGCAAAGGAGCTGGTCTCTTCTGCCAGGGAAAGTCAAAGTGTCACCCAGCCCATCACGCTGACACTATCTGCAGAATTATTTTTCCCAATACGGCTCTTCCATTTAAAGCCAACACATTCAGCTTGTTTGCACTCTGCAGGTATGTGACTGCGTGTATATTTGGCCATTATTTCACTTCTAAAGAGTCCTGGCAGCACTGAAGGGGAGAAGGGTCTATTGCTATGCCTTGACTTGCAGGTTGTTCATGTAGCTCTGCCGTTACATTGCTGGAATAGCTACAGTTCCTAAATAAAAAATTATTAAATGCTGTAAACACCAGTATTCCCAGTACAATAGAAAAATACCTGTCAAATGCATTTGTGCAGTTATAACTCAGTAGCTAGGCTGAACAAGAGAACATATATTGCAGAAATACACTTGGGCAGGAAAGGTCTTTGGCGTTTGCTCCTGCCATGAGTGGTGACAATCTTGCAGTTTTGCAGTAGATCCTTCTGCTCAACCCAGAAGGATGATCCAGCACAGCAAACAAACCCTGCAGTATCTCAAAGCGTTGAAAAAAACAAATATGAGTTTCTATTTACACTGAGTCGAAGGGACCCAAATGGCATTCTTCTGGCAATGCCACAAAGCCAGAAGCAACGCCTTGGTCTGCTGCCTGCAGACCCTTTCCCTTCTGCTCCCTCCAGACCCTTTCCCTTCTGCTCCCTCCTGGTCTCTGCAGGGAGCCCACAGAGTCTGGGTGCCTCAGAGCACGGCATGAAGGTGGCCAGGACCTGGCTGAGAGGGCACGGCTGAAAGCAGTCGCTGTTGTCACTATTTACAGGGCTTCATGATCCTTGGTATGCCTCTCGCTCCTCACCTCTTTCCGCTAAGATAGTCAGATCAATTCTCACTGACATCACTGTTTATTGATAACTGCACCAATAAATCATAACTGCCCCCTTTGAAGCCCTTTGTCATCACAGAATTACACTTCAAAATGCCAGGCCAGCCTTTATTGCTCCACCTAATCAAAGCCTATCAGAGATAGGAGCCCAGGGTGAAGGACTACCCAGACGTAAAAGTCTTATCCAGTCCTCCTTCTCCAGGAGGACATGCAGAGATTTATATATTTAAAGTAATCATGCATCAAATTGTTTTAGGAATAATTCAAGCAGGTAACCTTCACAACAGACAGAGGGATCTACCTTAATTGCAACACCCCTCTGAACCATGGCTAGCCAGCTGTTTCTCAGACAAGGACCCCAAGCCACCCTAGGGAGAGGGGACGGCCACATCCCTCATTCCATGCCGCTCTCTGCAGCCAGCTTTGATGCCAAAGCTGAGTGGCTGAGGGAAGAAGTGGGTATTTCCCAAGGGTAGGTAGGAGACTCACCAGCTCAAAGCTGGGAGACCCTCCCTGACCCCACATCCCGGTCATGAGCGCTTTTAGCGGCTGAATGACTCCAAGGACTTCACTGAGACAAGTTTTGACGGGGACAAACCTCATTCACAGCCAGCTAAAAGGAAACTGAATTTACAGTACTGCTATTTCACAGTAAATATTACAAAATTTTCATGACTTAGTCTGACTTCGTTCCAATTACTCCAAGGCACATCAGAGTACCTGATGTAATTAAGTAATAACCAACCTTTTCTGTTCAGCCACTTTTTTTTTTTTAACAGCTTATGAATGGGCAAAAAGGAAATCTTTTTTATAAAATGAAACATATGGTTTTATTAATTTAACCAAACCTGCTTGGGACACAATGGAATAAAAAAACATTTGATCCAATAATTCAATTTGATGATTTAATTAAAGTGATACATAATAACGTAGTAAATGTCTGAAAGGCAAGAAAAAAAGTGTAATGATTTGACCATCTATAAAACAACTGGCATTTTCCAGAGATCTAATTTTCCTCTCAATACTCTGTGTGCCTTGGATTTTTGAAAGAAGATTAAAAGAACCGCAGGCTCCTTGCTTTCTTCTTCTTTTTTTTTTTTTTTTTTTTTTTTTTGGGTGCTAAAGAACCTCTACTGATTTTGCAAAATGTGCAGCTGAAGGACAAACAGAAATGCAGAAAGAGATTGGGACAGGGAGGGAGAAGTTTGCAGCTTCCTCTGAATTGAATCAGGACACACTAAAGAGAAACATAAGCTTTCCTTTTTCCTTTTTCTTTTTTTTTTTTTTTTAAACCAGGCTAAATAAGAAAAAAAAGCCTGTGTATTCATGATTGCCTGAGGAAAAAAAAAAAGAACCAAAACCAACAACCAGCATCATTTCACGTTGAAATAGCATCTCAGCTATTTTTAGAAAAAAATATTACTAATGCTCCCTTTTAAATTCAGATCCTAAGGGATAATAAAAATATTGAGGGGGCTTTCAGAATGTCTTTCTGTGGTGCAGTGCAATACTGAGCAGATACTTGAATTGGCCCTATGTAGGTGTAGCAGGACACCAAAGCCACTATGTCCTGGCTAGCAGACCGCCTGTGCCAGGGCTCCTGGAGGCAGAAGAGCCTCGCCAGGGCCACAGGGTTCCACCTTGGAGGCACTCAACAGGCAAGTGCTTTGCAGTACTGGGGCCATGCCTCGCAGCAGGCAGCGATGCCCTGAGCGTGGCACACCCCGCTCCTGTCGGAGGGAAAAATCCCCCTCCACCCCCCTGTTGGGGATGACCTGAACAGGGAGCCTGGCACACAGGCTGGCTCCTGCCTTATGGAAAAGTCCTGCAGAAGGGGGAGGGTTGCGCGGCTGCATCTGGAGGAAGCCCTCTGACCCGACCTGGGGCAGCCTCAGCCGGCATTCCCAGCTGCTGGCCATGTGCGGGGCTGCCTGGGGGCTTGACACAGCCTTTTCTCCGCAGATCAGCCCGCCATGGAAGGCAGGGAGCAAGCCAGCATCTTGGCGAGCCTTGCCTTCCATGGCTCACTCAAGCCTGGCGAAAACCTGTTTGCCACTTGCGGACAAATGTAGCATGCTAATACAGTCCTAAGTGCTGGCCAGGCCAGCCATACAGCAGAGAATTATTTTCTTCATGTTAAAAACATTCCAATGGGCTGGAACAAACAAAATTAATTTAACAACTCCGCATTCATCTCTCCCATAATTTGATTTGTATGTTGTATTTGGCTACGTAACCTCCACAAGGCTTTCCTAACTGAAGCCTGATAAAGCTTAATCCAAAAGCTCCTGGCAGCTCCATTTCAGAGAGCTGAAAGACAAAAAGGGGGCTTATTGTTTTGCAAAAATTAGCCACTGATATTAAGATACACCCATGAATGCAGAAAGGGCATGTAAGATAATATTACAGCTTTTTTTTTTTTTTTTTTAAGAGCAGCCTACATTTCTTTTTTAAAGACAGAAATGAAAAACCAGCCAAACTTTCTGGGTTTCTTCAGTCTAGGGAGCAAGCCAGCATCTTGGCGAGCCTTGCCTTCCATGGCTCACTCAAGCCTGGCGAAAACCTGTTTGCCACTTGCGGACAAATGTAGCATGCTAATACAGTCCTAAGTGCTGGCCAGGCCAGCCATACAGCAGAGAATTATTTTCTTCATGTTAAAAACATTCCAATGGGCTGGAACAAACAAAATTAATTTAACAACTCCGCATTCATCTCTCCCATAATTTGATTTGTATGTTGTATTTGGCTACGTAACCTCCACAAGGCTTTCCTAACTGAAGCCTGATAAAGCTTAATCCAAAAGCTCCTGGCAGCTCCATTTCAGAGAGCTGAAAGACAAAAAGGGGGCTTATTGTTTTGCAAAAATTAGCCACTGATATTAAGATACACCCATGAATGCAGAAAGGGCATGTAAGATAATATTACAGCTTTTTTTTTTTTTTTTTTAAGAGCAGCCTACATTTCTCTTTTAAAGACAGAAATGCAAAACCAGCCAAACTTTCTGGGTTTCATCATGCTTTT